CTACTGATGATGCTGAGAGCTGGCCACCGATTTGCGACAAGGATAGTCTCCGGCGGGACAAAAAACAGAATAGTATCTGCAGGGTGGAGAAGAAGATTGGTGGTGACTATTAGGTATATTACATTAAACTACATGGACTAATAGTGTAATTGTGAAATTAATTAAAATATTGTTATGCTATACCTACCTATAAAAAGAACAAATTTAAATTTGATCTGTGGCCTAGTTGGTAAATAGAGCACCAAGCTTTTCGAGCGGGTGTATTCGGCTGTGTTTAAATCCCCCTCTCCTTAGTTTGCTAAAATAAAATAAAAAAGAAAAAATTCCGAATTACACTTATTCAGAATATTATTGTGTTCTTAATATGTTATTAGCCTCCAAGTATAAAAATAATAAAAAAAATGGATCTTAAACTATCTAAAGAACTTCATATTCATGTATATAAAGATTGTTCAATTTTATATGAAAGTTGACTTGAAATGAGGAATGAATTGAGTTTTCGATACATAAAGGGTCCTTCTGTAGTGCAAGAATCTCTCAAATCTTCCATTCATGACATAGTTGGATAATTAAGATTCAATGAAACACAAAGATGATACATGATTATGTCTAAATATAGATTTCAGTTTGAAATTGCAAGGAGAAAATCTATTTTCTATAAGATTGCCTTTGTGCATGAGCACTCTAAGAAAAGAAGTGAATTGAAACAAAATGCTAGCTTGGGGTCAATTTTTAGATGCTACTTGTCCAAATTTTGTGGATGAAAATACTTTCATAAGGTTCCTTACCTCGTGTAGAAGGGTTTGTATCAGAAGGTCAAACGGAGGAGTTAACACATTTCTTATTATAGTTCAACTAGTCCATTTAAATACATTGAGACCCATCTCGGCCCAAATCAGCGCAACAATACATTCAAATGGGACTTGTGATATACATTACTTTTCAGCCAAATTTCATCATGTAGGCTTAGAATGTTTCGTTAAAGGTCCAATCTGTCTCGAAATTAGCTGATTTATGGTAGTTATCTTATTTTAGTAACTTTTTATTGTAGTTAATGGCCTTGGGTGTCATTTTTGCCCAAATTGAAAGCTAAGCAATGGTAATATTAAAGATTCTTCTGTGGAAAAATAGAGATGTCTCCAACGTTACTCATAATATGTGAAAGTATCAACATAATTTCATAGTCATTCGGTCTGAATGTTACATGAAGAACATAAGTCGGATGACGGAATATTAGGTCATTGGCTCAATAGTATAACCTCGTTTTCCCAAGGTGAGAGGAGAGGGGTTCGAGTCCTCATGTGAATACTTATATTATAATTATTATTATTTGTTTTTTTAATAAAATAACTTTAATAGTTCTTTCTTCATTTTTTTTCATGGCAAGAATATTATGAATTAGTGGTTAGAGGGGAGGAGAAGGATGTAAGGCTCAAATACAAGCTCTCCGAGAAGCAACCCAACTACACAAGTAACATGGCAATTGCAACTTTAGTAATTCATTTTAGCATCCTTAGACCACCTTATTAAGATATTATTGATCTTATAAATTTTGATTAAATTCAATGGGCTTTAAGTTTTTCTGTTTTGTGGCCTGCTCATTGGGTTGCACTGGCTGAGGTCAGTGTGCTTGTCTTGGACAGGGTTCCTCACATTTCTAAGTTTTTTTAGCCCCATTTAAGCTCCTGATGAGCTGATGTTATCTTCACTCAATTATAGCCTTTGGGCTTCACTCCCATTTTAAAAATAAAAATCTTAGGAAAAAACACCCAAATCACACAAAAACTACTCCAGCAAAAATATATATATATATACCAAATACAAATATGAGGATAGGAATTCTTGATATTTGTCAAAAATTTGAGTATACAAGGGTTGTTTGGTTAATGCTTTTATTTCATATTTTTTATTTTTGCTAGTATACTGTGACGAAGTAAAAACACGAAGCATGGTTGGTAACATTTGCTGTCATTTAAATAGTATCGAAACACTTCCAAAATTGACGCCAAAATCGAAAACAGAAAAATGATGCTTTCGTTTTGCTTCCGCACGGTAGCAAAACACTATTCAAAAAAAAAAAAAAAAAAAAACAACTTTCTAAAATGACATTTTTAACCAGCCATTCATTTTTTCAAACTTGCAACACTTTTTACCAAATATGTTTTCATATTTTTATTTCCAAAAATCTTGCAGCAAATTTACATCACCAAATAAGTTTTGAAATAGTGTTGAACACATTCTAAAATAGAAATATTGTTTCTGCTTCGGGTCAAAGCCAAAGCACGAAGTAAAGTAACTAGAGGAGATAAGATCACAAATAAAAATGTACGTGAAAGGAAAATTAGATCAGAGACCTAGTGATGCGCAGGTCAAACGAGCAAAATTAATTGTAATAGAAGTTAAGAGATGTAAAGGGTGATAAAAAACAATACTTCGTATAAGATGAGAAGTTAAAAAAAAAAAAAAAAGATTTTTAAAAAATTTGAGAAAAAAAAAAAATTCGCGTGGCCGACTGTATTTATATGGGATTAAGGATGAGGCGTATGAGTGCATTTGGATGTTGCAATTCAAGGTCTAGAAACCATGTAAGATCAGATTGAACTCAACCATGTCAAAAGGTGTGTGAATGTGTACGAATTTAACTTTTGATGTTCCATTATATGCCTAACTCTTTTTTCATATGGTAAAATTGATAGAGAACACTAGTTGTGATCTCTCTTTCCTCATCTTTTTCTCTTCAAATGATTCTTCTGACTGCTTTATCTTTTTTCCTTCAGAACCTGATAACCATGCATATATATATATACAGAGAGAGAGGTTATCTTTTAACCAAATTTAATCATCAATAATTCAATTCAAAAGTTTAAACAATACCTAGTTTGGGAAATGATTCCAATTTGTACCAATCAATATCACATGGTAGCTATAGCTTTTAACTACTTTAAATCTTTTCTGTGGTGAAAACATGTCTTAAGTAAAGTATCAATACTTCACATCAGGTCTACTTCCAACAAAAATCATCAAATGTAAAGCTCTTTTTCTCTCTCTCAACCAACTTCGTGACTTTTGCAGCTTTACAAACATCTAACCCAATTTCCCAAAAAAAAAAAAAAACATCTAACCCAAAAAATATATTCCCAACTATATATCTAAGAAACATTATAAAACATGTATGAATTTCATAATGACAAACATATGTATCTATTCAATTATATATTATATATTGGGTAAAGTGAAAAAAAAAAAATAGTTAATAAGCCACTTTGCTATATAAAAAAAATGTGCAATGAAACATCCCTACTAAAGTACGCGTATATAATTTCCTAAGATTTGAAAATATGTGTAAATTGCTCCCTAATATTTGTTGATTATCAATTTTGACAACAAAATGTTATAAAAGTCTCAAAATACCCTTAAAAATTGAAATAAGTGTTTTTTTTTTACTTTATTTTGATTTAAGAGCATTTTAGGTATTTTAGTCTTTAAATTGACAAAATATATTTATTTCCTCGGTTCGGAAAATGTAGAGTTTTTTTGAACCCCAGGGAAGTATTTACATATTTATATATAGCAATGTTTTTTTTTTTTTTTTTTTTTTTTTTTTTTTAACACTTTACCCTTTAATATATATAAATATAAATATATATATATATATATATATAGAGAGAGAGAGAGAGAGATACTAATAATTAAGAGGAAATACAAAAGAAGAAGAAAGAATATATAAGCAAACTTTAACCCATGTTTTGTGAACAGATAGAGCAATCCCTTTTTACATGTGGCCTCATGCAAACCATGTGTTATCAATTAATCTAACTTTATTATTTTTGTTGTCTTCTTAATTTTCTTTACTATTTATTTTCATATTATTATGATTCTACCAAAAGCTACAGATTCCCTAGACTCCACAAATTCAAAGTTCATAACGACTCCATGCATTCACAGATTACCATGTATAGAACTCTGCCCATATTTGGATCATACAAGCATATATAAAGAGATGTGTGTGTGTGTGAGTGTGTGTGTGTTATGAAAGCACTTATATTGGGTGTTAATGTACCTTTAATTAATTCATGTTACACCATTTATTTAAAAATAAATAAAAAATTAAGGATATCAACCCGTGTAATATATTTTCGTTAATCAAAGATCACGACTATTTGTTCAAAGTGGCCGTTCTCATAAGTTAAATCAATTCATGTTGTCACTCCAAATCATTTTCATAATGCCGCTTACTATAGTGATGATAAGTTTAAGATACTAAGAGTAATCTTACATCAGTTGACAATTCAATTATCTAATTACTCACTCAAAGAAGGTTATAAATGTCTTTAGAATATGTGGTGTGACCTTTAACCTTAATCCTACGTGAGTACTTATGTCACGTATTTTTTAAAAAAATTATTTTGTTTCAAAATATTAATTTTGTTAAACACTTGACCCTCTTTATTAATATTTGTTAATTTTCACAAGTGAAGGGGTGCTTTCATGGCTCAATTATAAATTTAGGTACGGACAAACAAGTCACTACCTCTGTTCTTATCAATTATCATAGATCAAAATATTTATATTCTGTTTAAAGGAAAGAGAACAAGTAAAAATCATTCGACTCACGGCTCATAAGCCGACTCTGATGCTGATGTCATCAACCATGATAAGGACTAACACAACATTCCTAATCGGCGCGCCAAGCGAAGCCGACTAACTGACGTGGCCATGTAAGCAACTTCCCAAACTATTGGCTCCACATGCTAAACTAATGGGTTTATGACACGTGTCAACTTAGGTCCCACATTTTTTTGTTTTCTTCATGACTAAGCTAAAATGGCCCATCTTTATTAGGGACCCATTTGATTATGTCACCCCCACAATGTCTCTTTAAAAAGTAGATTAGTGCCACCTGACTCAAAAGCAATGCCCCTAAACACATGCTTTATGACCAAAATGCCCCTCAGTGGACCACCACTATTAGTCCCTCCATGGTCCATAAATACCACTCCCCTACCTCTCATTTCTTCCCTTTCCTCCTCCTACCTTCCTCTTTATCTAATTAGCGGTTTTCCAGCCATGTTGTCCACTTTTCCCGCCTTGTCGGCCTCCGACGGATTGTTCGGAATCCCATTTCCGGCTTTCGAAGGTGGTTTTACCCCTTGGGAATGCCAGGAACCCCTTTTTGCCTTTCCACATGAGCTTGAACCGGTACTTTCTCCCCCAACCCCCCAAGAACCGGTCATGTCCAATTCCGGTTCGGACAACTCGAGCCCGAAGCAGGTTACTTCGAACTCATGTTCCGGTCCGGATGAACTGAACCTGCCCCAGAAAATTTGTGGCTCCGGTTCAGATGACCCAGACCCAAACCGGCCCAAGAAAAATTGTGGCTCCGGTTCGGATGACCCGAGCCGGGTTGATTCCGTTGTTGTTGACGAGCGGAAGAGGCGTCGGATGATATCGAATCGGGAGTCGGCGAGGCGGTCTCGGATGCGAAAACAGAAACATTTGGAGAACTTGAGGACCCAAGTGAACCGGCTACGAATCGGGAACCGGGAACTGACGAACCGGTTCCGTTTGGTTACGCAACATTGCCACCTTGTAGGGAGAGATAACGACCGGCTCCGGTCGGAGTCGGAGGTCCTCCGGCGAAAACTATGGGACTTACATCAAGTTCTGCAAGTCCGGCAACTTCAACAGTTCGCTGCTCTCTCTGCATGGCCATGTAATAACACTGTTACGTCCATGGACGAACAAAACCACCCACCATCATAAATCAACTAAATCAATCATAAAAACCACCTCATGATTAATCTTTAAAACTTGATCAACCAAATCTCTCTCTCTCTCTCTCTCTCTGGGATCTGTAAATTAAAAGCTGCTAAGAATTGGTGGGGTTTTTTTAGTGATTTTTGAAAAAGGGTTGTTTGTTTGCTGAGAAAAAAAAAAAAAAAAAAAAAAAAAAATGGGTGGTTTTTGGCAAAACCAGAGTTATGATCTTGTAAAGCTTTTAGTCAGTGTTTGGTTTATCAGATTTAATTAAAGCCTTTTTCGTGTATTAATTAGTTTGTTGGTTGCACGGCGTTTTAAAAGCCTTTTAACTAGTTAATTTTGCTTTACGAATTGAAGTTTCAATTAGTGCAGTCTGTGGAATTATTTAATTAATTGTGCTGTAAATAAATGCAGCCACAAACAAATACATGGGGGTGGTATCATGCGATTAAATCATAGATTATCCTCCATAAAATAAAAAAGAGCACTACAAGAATGTTACTATCATTAATGCGTTTTGAAAAGACATATTTGTCCTTATGGAACTAAGGGCATGATATGATCATAACATGAATAAAATCAATTTAACATGGCTAATAATGGTCAAGCACTATTGATTTTGGGTTGACTATGTTCCGCATGCAAAATCCTGTAGCCACTCACTGATTGAAACTTGTCCATTAATCAAGGTATTCTTGTAATTAAATAGTTAAAACCTTAATTCCATTATTTTTTAATTAATTAATTTAGCAAAGTGGTCATGGACATAGAATCAATCACAGATGGGAACTAATTAATTTTTCTTTCAATAATCAAACTAGTGCAGGCATAATACACTTTTTCTTTACTAAACTTGATTGGTTTTGGATTGAGTGCAAAGAAGTTAGGAACTTTAGTTTATAATATAATTAATATGGATTCACGACTTTAACATATATATATATATATATATATATATAACACATTCATCCGCAATTTTTTTTTTTTTTGAAAGGTACATTGGTACATTAATCCACAAGTTGTGATCAAAGACGTAATCCAATCAACCCATAACAAAAGAGGATGCTTATGTCACCCCAATTTTAATTACCTTTCAATTAAAGTATTAATAATTAAAGAAGATTAGTCGTATAATGTGCAACTAAGGTAACTTTTATTTATTTTTTAAAATTTTATTTTTCTCTTTTTCCCTTATTGTGTGCAATGAATATTCCCCGCATATTAGTTAAATTTAAGTGCCACTTATATTTTTCATTTCAAGTGATTCATTTTTAACCGGTTGATTTTCAACGAATCAAAAGACAAATATACTCTTTGAGAGGAGTAGATATTAGATACACCAAGCACGTCATGTCATTAGTGCGTTTACTCAATGAAATATAACATATTATCGTTTTATAGTAATTTTTTATTATTTTTAAATAGTGCATTGTCATTAATTAGATACATTGATGACATGATGTGCCTGACACACCCAAGATATACTTCCTTAATAATACCATATCAAAACCCAAATTGCATTACACATTTTTTTTATTATTATTTATTATTTTTTAATTTTTGATGGGGTTAATTTGGCAGGTTTGCTGTCTCTAGGGGTTAGGTATTGATTAGAAATTTAATTAGAATCTCTATGTCTTCTTTTGATTCATGACAAGAACCCATTTGGAATCACCCTAAAAAAGGGTGACAAAGTGGTGCTACATTTGTCTCTTCCTTTCTTCACTTGTAAGTTATATAGACACCCAAGACTTTGGGTTGTCTATCAAAGTATATAATGTGGACCAAATTCAAAAGCAATCAAAGCAATTATTCATCTCATGCGGTCTATGTACTACCTTTGATGATTTTGTTCTAAACGTGTCAAGCTTTGGGATATATTTTTGGGACATAATTAGTTTGGTGAGATTTTCTTGGACTTCTTTAACATTACACTTCAAAGATCCCAACACACACACACACACATATACTAATTTATTTTTTTTATTTTTTTTACACACTTGTCATTCTTTGGAGACAATTTTGCATAATAGTTAGTTTGGTGAGATGTTTTTGGAATATTTCCTTTAATTTTAATATAACAAGATTTCATTACATAAAATAATTTACTGATAAAATATTAAATATATGATTCGATTAGGTCGAGAAAGGAAATTGTCTCGATAACTTAGTTGATTAGTGTCCTCAGTAAATTTTAGAATGATAAATTTTAACTTTCTGTATTTACTAATCTAACATTTAATATTTCTTATCTTAAAAAAATAAAAAATAAAAAATTGAATAAAAAATAAAAAATTGAAGAAGAAGAAAAGATTAGACCGAAAAAGAAGTTCAGTTCTAGTTCACTACTTACTAATAATGTGTGGTGGTTTAATAATGCTTGATGACATAATTAGCTTATATTATATGGTTCTTTAAAAGTTGTCTATCCATTGTCTCATTATGGAAATTTAAAACTAAAAGCGATGGTAATTGTATTTTAAATGAAATGACGACAGCATTTGTGGATTCAAAGTTATTTTTTAGTTGTGTTTGCATTTTTTAGTTTTAAGTACTTACAAGTCCTTTCTACATATTATAACATTTTGCTACTCAAGTAATGATTCTAAAAAGGGTCTGAATAGAGTTTATCACAAATAATTGTCAATTTTTGGTTCTATATATTAGCAAATTTTATATAATCAACTTATCAAATTTTGCAATATGAAATATATGTTGGGATATGTGTGCCCTAATATAGCAAATTCTTATTTGGATTGTAAAAGTCATGGTTCCTTATTTGAATATTATTATTAAAGCATTATACAATTGGTGAATCGAATGTATTATTTTTCGATTCATTATGGAATTGATTGTGTCCACTTAATTACAAGATATATTTATATATGTATGTAATGACAATTAATACTAAGTTATAAATTAATAATCATAAATGGTTCAAAGTCGGTAATTATGAATGAGTATTTAATTAGTTAAGACTTGAACCGAGTCCACGATAGATTGAGATATATTGCGAGAGTTGTCGTATGCAATAGCTCTCTATCACAATCATGGCTTTTGACTCTCAAGTATGAGAGAAGTATAGATTCTTTTATTAATTAATAATTACTTTGATTTGTTCGGCGGATACCTCGGGATCCTTAGATCGACACTTTGGGTAGTTATGTAATTAATAGTTAGAAGTTTATATTCTCAATATTTGCATCAGTGTTATTTGTATTTATTTTGTTTTGATTATGGTTGATCACAAATTAAATTCGAAAGCCTTCGTATGTTTTAGACAAAATGTTATATATATATATTTATTTAGTAAATTATTATTTTTGTTAAACAAATATTTTATTGTGATCGAGGCAGAAATAATCAAAGGTAACAAAATAATTATATTAATTATGTTGTCGGATTGATTAGGCCTGATCACGGCTCGGATCTGTTCGGTTTGGAGCTAAAGATCAAGCCGAACCGGTCCCCACGAATTGGTGTAAATTGAAACCGAACCGATCCGTGGGGGCGTTCAATCCGAACCAAACCGATCCGTGAAGTAACGGATCGGATCGGATCGGTTCGATTTTGTGAAACCCCTCGATTCTAGAGTCACGGGTGATCAAGTCCGAGCACAGATTCGAGGGATACCAAACAATTAAAGTATATATACGAACACAGAATAACAAAAGAGAAATAAAGGAATAACTATTAAAGCTGAGAAGAATTCAAAATACGAAAATCCTCCAAAAGCGTTATAAATTTATATAATTTCATCTTCCAATCCGTACAACTCGGGAATCCATCCAGTGGACCCCTAATAATCCCAAATGAACAAATATTACACAACCAAAATTCAAAACTAAAATAAGAAAGGAAATCCTATGTAGTCGGAAGAGTGAGTGATTGTATCTGCTTCATCACGATCAAGCTCTAAGCCTGGTACTGACGAACACCTGAAAAATAAAAGTGGGTCAGGCCCACATGCAAGTTTCATCCTACTACAATCCATACATAAACCCGATACACAGATACATCCTAGATAGCTCGGCAATAACTAAAAATAGTCCATAAATATAAATATATCCACACTACAGGACTTTCCCTGGACTACAGGCCAGTCTCAACCTGACTAGCAAACCTAGCAGGGCACACATCAAACTATCATAGCCAGTTATGCATCCCAATGCATATACGCTCCCTAACCATCGATCTTGAGACTCAAACTCATATCGTGGTAACATAAATATATATATAAATTTCATCCAAAACCAATGAAGTGCCGCTCAACTATTCATTGCCAAGACACGACATTTACTTAGGATTTAAATGTTTCAATTAAATCCATATCATTCCTACTGCAGAAAAATATAGAGCAAATATCCGTTATGTCGTTCAACTGTTTTAGTTGGCAGGACATGCATCCATGTAGGATTTAACTATTTTAGTTAATCCATTCCTTACGTATGAAGAGGTAGGACTTAGCTTTTTGATCTAATCCATCTCTGATATGCCATCGTACCATACCGGTGCATATAATACATATGGTGCACAAATGATGCACACTCAAATGAACATCAAGTATATCCAAAAACCAGCATAATTGAAATCAGATAGTATTAAGATCCTGTCATGCATCCAGTATATGATTATAATCATAGATCCTCCTTTTAAATTATTAAAATAATAATAAACAATTTACACCATCCATTTCTATATAATTGACAGAACAGAAATTTAATACAGTTCAACAATTAACATCCATAGCATGTTATAATGATTATCAGAATTATAAACTAAGCAACATTATATTAGAATTCCCAACCAATTCTTCCATACTGGTTCATTCGCATTGATAAAACGAAGACTAGCATTTAAAATCTTCTCAATCCTTAACGGCATGTAAATTAATCTTTAAATCCCATGACATCCGTTTAATCCCTAATTATAAAACCTGTGCATGGTATAATGACACTCAGAAGTCTAAACTGCACATTATATGAAATCCCAACAGTGTTTTATACTAATCCATTTAAATTAGTTAAAACACAACCAGCGAGGAAAACTTCCTCAACTCTTGACAGCACGCAATTTAGTACCTAAAGTTCATGATGTCTATAACTACATCCTAAACCCACCATTCTGGCCTTCATTAAATTATACATATCATTTATATAACATCCTAGAAATAATTTAACACCTGTCCATTTAAGTTGCTAAACAAACTAGCGATTTACACCTTTCTCCTTCCTTCCTTGACAATATGCCTATTATTTGTTTATATTTCATGATGCCCCTTAGGATTAGCACCCTAGCATAAACCAACTATTTTAAGGCTTTAACAAGTTAATTTTAAACATTTAAAACCCCACAACATTTTCCAT